CTCGTTGGGTGAGGCCGCTGCCCATCAGGAAATGAGGCGGCGCCGCAACCCGCACCGCCCTCCGTGAGGGAAGGGACGAGACGGGCCCGGGAAAAGATTGGCGCCGTTAGGCCCGTGTCGTGGCCGGCCGGCCTTCCCTACCTGGACTGCGGGAGCCGCGCGGGGAACGGCGCGGGCAGCGAGGAGGCGGCCCAGGAATGCGGGAGCAGCTGCAGCCGAGAGGCGAGAAAATGGCGGCCGCTAAAACCCCGCCTTGTGCGTGCAGCCCGGCGCCGGCTATGGCGAGACTCTCGCGATGGTTCGACGCGCGCCTCCCATTGGCTGGTGGGTGCGCGCGGCGGTTTTGGGGAGCGTGGGCTCGGGCGCTGCCCCATTCCTCAGTGCCGGGGCCGCTCCGCTAGGACTGCTCGCCAGCCTGGTGAGTTGGAGCTTTCGGTCCCTCCAAGGGGCTGCGAGATGCGGTCTGTCCTCATTCAGATCTTCCTCATCCCCCCCACGCCTCTGCTTCCCTCCCTTACCCCTTTCACCTCCCTGTTGAAAGCTGACGCTTTACTGGCTTAAGTAACTACGCGGTATCTTCCAAGCGGTGGATCTTTTGGGGAGAGCTTGGAGGCTCTTTTGTTCGCTCTGAAGGCTGTAATGGCAAAAAACCCCCAAGAAACACAGTGAAATATACGCCTGGTGTTTCTTAAACATTCTTACTGTAGGTTTTGTTTTCTTTGTGTTCTGTAGTGAGACTGAACCCCTCGGTCGCCCTTTCTAAGGGATTGAATGTGATCCATACACAGTCAGGCAACTTAATATCTTTTCAATGTAGTAGTGGCATGGGTACAGGAGTTAAATGCAATCTTAGCCGGTGTGCTAGCGATACCAGATTGGGAGGGGCGGCTGACTCTTTCAAGGCACAAGAGCCTTCAAGGGGGATCCAAATAGACTGGAGCACTGAGTAACTATCAGTGGCATGAAACTTTAATGAGAACAAATACAGATTCTGCCCCTGGGATGCAGTAAAACTGGACACAAGCATCGGCTGGGAGAGGAGTGTGTGTAGAGCAGCCCTGCAGAAAGGGATCTGGGGGTGCTGGTCTGCAGCAGCTCAGGGTGAATCAGCAGTGTGTGCCCGGGCAGCCAGGAGGGCAAACCCCATCCCGGGCTGCATCAGACACAGCATCACCAGCTGTGACTGGGATCATCCTGCTGGATTCAGCCCTGCTGCGGCCTCACCCTGAGTCCTGTGTGCAGTGCTGGGCCCCACAGCCTGAGGAGGGTGGGAAGGGCACTGAATGGTCCAGAGGAGGACAACAGAGCTGGTGGAAGGGCTGGAAGGCACATCCTGTGAGGAGCGGCTGAGGGCTCTGGGTTTGTCTGGTCTGGAGAGAAGGAGGCTCAGGGGTGACCTCATTGCTCGGTACAGCCCCCTGAGGAGGGGACCTGGAGAGGGAATGCTGGCCTTTTCCTGACATCCAGCAACAGAGTATGTGGGAATGGTTCAAAGCTGTATCAAGGGAGGATCAGACTTGACAATAAGGAATAATTTCTTTACCAAGGACAACAAAGCTGGTGAAAGGCGTAGAGAGTGGTGTTAGGTGTGGTTGAGGGAGCAGGGCTGGAGTACAGGAGGCTCAGGGGGCATATTATTGCTCTCCAAATCTCCTTGAAAGGAAATTGTTGCAAGGTGGGGGTCAGTCTCTGAGTCTGACATCAAGGTTTTCCAAGGGAGGTTCAGGTTGGACATCAGAATTTTTTCATGGAAAGGATGTTTAAGCAATGAACAGTCTGCCCAGGGAGATAATGGAGCCACCATCCCTGGAATTGTTCAAGAAGTGATTGGACATGGTACTTGGTGCCATGATCTAGTTGACATGCTGGTTGGTGTTAAGTCAAAAGTTGCATCTTGGAAGTGTTTTCCAACCTGAGTGATTCTAATTCTAAGAGAATGATCAAATACTGAAAAAGGCTTCCTGTAGATTTTGTAGATGCCCTAAACTTGTTGGTGTTTAAGATGTATCTGGACAATATCCTTTGTAATGTGCTTTTACTTTTGGTCAGCCCTGAATTGGTCAGGTGGTTGAACTAGATGATCATTCAAAGTGTCTTCCAACTGAAATTCTTCTGTTCTACTCTATGCAGAGCCACTTCCTAAACTAACAAGAAGTTAGAGTTTATTACCCATTGATATATTTGAAATGATAACTTGCCAAGATTTGATGCTATTGCAGCCAAGTCCTGCCCTGGGTGTCTAGATAGCATTGATTCAAGCCAGCTTCCTGTTGTCAGGTGCAAAGCTTTCAGTCACAGGCAGAAAGTCACCCCTCTGATGTAAGTGTTGCTAGACCACAGCTTGGTTCTATAGATCCTCTTACTTCTGTTCCTAACAGTGCTGGTGAAGTGGGAGAGTAACATCTCAAGTCAATTTCAAAGTAAACTGTCTGTTAACAGAAAGAAAACCATAAAAAAAGAGGAAATATATTTTAAAACCTACTTCTGTTTTGGTTTGGGGTTTTTTTTGTCCATTCACTTCCAATTGATATGAAAAGGGTTTCAGTTATAATTTGCTAATTAAATCAACAGAAAAAAAGCATGGTTGATTGTGTAAGTCTCCAAACTTTATTTTTCACATACCTTTTATGCCAGTTGAAATGTTAAATGTTGTAAATGCCTGTGATTTTATTGTCTGCAGAAGTATTTTTAATTTTTTTATGTAAAATGAGAATGAAACGTGTAATAATTTCAGTTTTTGTCAAAAAATTAAGTATGTCTTTTTGAATTCAATTTTAGGGAATTCAGTCTCTTACCGTGCAAGAAAATGTCTACATCTAGCATTGTAGCAAGAGTGGAAACCTGGCTTTCATCCACATGGCACATTAAAGTTCCTTTAACATGGCTGGCAGCATGTATTAATTGGATCCAGGAAGAAAATAGTGGTAGTAATTTAAGTCAAGATCAGATTAATAAGCAGGTATTTGAGCAATGGCTTCTTACCGATCTGAGAGACTTGGAATATCCAATTTTGCCTAACTGCATCTTAGATACTCCCAAGGGAGAGTTATCAGGCTGCTACTCCATACAGATTGATTCACTGGTGGATGTTAGCCAGCCAGCATATTCTCAGTTGCAGAAGCTAAGAGGGAAAAGCACTGTAAATGAAGAAGTAACAGGCAGTTCTCAGGCATTCCAGAAGCCCTGGGAAGCAAAGCCTACTCGAATGCTGATGCTACAACTAACTGATGGCATACATCAAATTCAAGGCATGGAGTATCAACCGGTGCCTGTTCTCTGCAGTAATCTTCCTCCTGGAACAAAAATCACAGTGCAGGGCACTATTGCATATCGTCTTGGTGTTCTTCTGCTTAAACCAGAAAATGTGAAACTGTTGGGGGGTGAAGTTGATGCTCTTCTTGAGGATTATTGTCAGGAAAGGGTCCTTGCTAGATTAATTGGAGAAGCTGAAAACCCTAATTCTGTTGGACAAGCTGGACATGAACAGATTTTTGCAAGGCCTGTGGATGAATTAGAACAAACTCTTGGCCCTTCAGATGAAGAGCTCTTAGCCAGCCTTGATGAAAATAATGAATTTACTTTAAACAACAGTACATCTTTAGAAAGTGGATACTGTAGTAGAAGCAACAATTTTAATACAGCCTCAGATTCACTGTCTGTGCACAATGGAAATGTTTTGCTACGAAAATCTGGAAGTCCTTTGCCTCACTCAGATGAACAAGTTTCACCTCCCGTAGAATATGCTGATGCCTTTTTAAATGATTTTCCTTTAGAAGATGACTTTCTTCTGGAAGAAGAAATGCAAAGAGAGATGGAAGAAGTGGCACCAGTAGACATGAACAGAAACATAGGTTTAATTACTGACAGACTTCCACATACATCTAGAAGTTCCTGCCCTTTATCTTTAAATGGCACTGGTGAAGAAGACAATGTGAATGGAAGAGATGAGCCCAGGGAAGCTATCAGCAAGGAAAAGAATGTGAGAAGAATGATACTTGATGAAGATGGAAATAGCATAAGTAACTTTTTGCAGCACAAGGGCTTACGTGAGACCTGCAGTTCATCTGATTTTTCTTTAGAAAATCCTCCTAAGGAAGGGCAGAATTATACAGACCTAGATGAGAGCAGATACAAACACCAACACACTTCTGACAGCAGGGTATTAAATGATGATCCTATGTTTTCCCAAAAAATGGATCCAGAAGGAGATCAGCAGGAACATGATTCACAGATTTTTCCTTGCAAGGAAGTAGAGGCACATTTAGATTTAGATTCTCCACCTTTCACATATATTTCCGTTCTCCTTTCAAAAAAACCAGAAACTGTTACAGTTCTGAAAGTTAAATGTTTTATTGTCACTCTCACTGGAAGCCTTACAAAAAGCAATGGGTCCTGGGGTATAAAGGCAAAAATTTCTGATGGCTCCGCTTATCTTGAAGTAGATTTTGCTGATGATATTCTAACAAGTTTGATTGGCTTTTCAGTGCCTGAAATGAATAAGCTGAAAAAGGATCCAGCTTTACGTCTAAAACTTAAGGATGGTTTAGAGAAATGTCAAAAAGAGCTGATAGATCTCTGTTGTTTGATGACTATTGAGTTTGATCCATTTCAGTCTAAAGCTACTGTCTTAATTCTTCAGGAAGCTGATGCTAGGCATCTAGAACAATTGAAGAAACGTTTGAATAAATAACATGTGCAAACTTGCAGACTGTATATTGGGGAATGTTTAAGTCAGATTTCCCTTGAAGAACTCTTGAAAGTTAAGTGATGTGTCTTTTATCAGGAATTATAATGTAAAAGTGTGACAAGGAGATTACTTGGAGCAAAGCTGAGCATTTTGCTTCTAATGGTGACAGTATTGCAATAAGATTTCAAATATTTGTGTTTTGATTTTTTCATTCTGCAAAATCCTGTGTGTTCTATACTGGTAATCCGGAGTAGCAGAATTTGTTAGGAAATGTGTAACAATGAACAAACCATCTTGTTACTTTACTTTTTCAGGTACTTACCTGATTTTTAAAAGAAAGGTACAGGAGGCTCTCAGTTTTTTCTTGGAGAAAATCAGTTGAATAAATTTAATTAACAAATTATTGTTCAAATACAGTCTCTTCTGACTATGCCAATCTGGAGACTCAAATCTATATTCACTGTGCAAGAACCTAAAGTACAGAGAAATGAAAGATTGACTTCTAAATACTCATGGAAAGAAAATCCAATCCTATACAAA